TACTAGGGGCTCCTGGCCTTACTACTAGGAACAAGGACTCTACTAGGGGCTCCTGGCCTTAGTACTAGGATTACTAGGAACAAGGACGCTACTATGGGCTCCTGCTCAAGACTGCAGGGTTCCAAAACACCACTTCCCACAGCTCCAAACTGCCAGACCTTCTTTGCTCCCCCCATTGCACCCCGGAGGGCTGGGGCTGGGCTACACGTCAACTCTAGATGTGGAAGATGCACATGCTCTACAGAAAGAATAGTTGACAGAAAGTTCGGAATTGCTTGCAGGTTCTACTGTATTTGTTGGGTACACCCATGGTCCATGGTCACTCTTCTCAGTCCCTGAGCCCAAAGAATCAAGCATGCTCATCTGAACATAAATGCTGTCAAGCATGAGAGATTGTTTTCTTCGCGACTGGCCACTTCCTGCTTTGGCAACAGGAGTAATTCTGCAGGTCCGAAGGCACTGACACTCTAAGGAATTGTAGGCATGTGGACGTCTGTATCAAAACAATCGAAGATGTTTGCATATGTGCAAATGTCAATGCCTTTGATCTGGCTAGTACCAGAGGGCCAGCTGCTTGTCGCAATCAGGAATACCTACAAAACACATCAAGCAAACAGGCGGAATCACCTCTAACTCCGCCTCCTAGATGTCTTCATCGAACTCTGTCTGGGCAAGGCCCTGCAAGCTATTCGCTGCTTTAAACGGAAACACAGGATGTCTCTGCCTGATAGCCGGCATAGTCATCCTGCACACAACCAAGCCACTATGCAAAGCTCAACATGACTCAACATCTCAACGGTCCTTCTGACGGTAGTACTCATTTCCAAAACCAGATATTGCACCCAGCCTGAGAAGTCAGTGCAGAGGAGACATGGAAAAGATCGGAACATAGTTAATGTCTGAATATGCAATGACATCCCCAAAGTGGTCCATGTCTCCTCTGTACATGGTCCGCAAGCAACGGCGATGATGATGAGTGGCCCCAACATGTCCACAGAGATGGACACCCCAAACCACGAAGAACCACCACTGGAGACTGATAAAGTTGAGGCACAAGATGCCCATGGGATAGCAGTAATGCTCCTTGGCTGACTTCAAAGGGAAAGTCGAGTCCTAGTGTTGGAATCAACTACCCTTGCTACGAGAAACAAGAATGCATTCTTTGAGTATTCCCAGGTAAACTGAGGGCGGTGCTTCTCTCATGAGCGCCACTCGCATATGGTACACCTCAGAACATCAGAAAGACATAACATGTCCTAATACTTGCAGTTGGAAATGCAACACGGCACAGGTAAAGTGATGAAATCTGCTGAAGCCGCTGGTGGTTGACAGCAGCTTGCTGATGGTTGGAGTTCTTGGTTCCTCTTCTTCTTTCGGTTTTCCCCTCTGTGAGTAACATAGTATATACAGTACCTTTTCACGCAAGAATGCACAGATGCGGCTTTGCTGCTTCCTCATCTTCGACATCCAGCAAGCCAAACGTAAAGCCAAAGACCACACCCATGGCCTCAGAGTGTTTTGCATGCGCGCGGGAGATGAAGGAATTCAAACCAAGCTTCAGGCGATGGATACAATCAGCACTAAGAAGACCTCCGGCCAATCATATGATCACATGAGATAATCTCGTCCATCACCAATCATCTTGTGGCCTGCTGGGAGCTCTCAACCACGGGCCTCGGTTACAAGATTCTCTCGCAGCGCTTTTCCACGGCGTAAATGAAGCCAAAGGCACTTTGCCACAGAGTTTTGGAAGAAGCCTATGACATAGTTGAGAACCTCAAACAAACCAACAATGTTTTAGACATGTGTTTTTCAAGCGGGATATGCCAAAGTTGTAGCTACTAGGCCGCTACTAGGCTCCGACGCAGGAAAGCTCACGCTTGGACTATTGACGTGGTTCCTACTCTATTTTTTGGGAAACTGGGCTTCAGACAAAATACGGAGAGGCAAAGGATGCGAAGGGTGGTACGACATCACTGGGTTTTCAGGGCCCCAGCATCAACGATTGAGAAGGTTAGAGCAAATGCCACAGCCAAGCCCAGAGTCATGTACAGCGGCACCTGCATTTGCAGAACCAATTTGCAAGAATTAAAATACATCTACTACAAGACTTGATAATCTGTAAAAGAAAAGAATCGAACCTTCATCCAGGGGGCAAGGCCAACGAAGATCTTGCGATCTAGGAGGAAGCACAACCTCTGAGACACAACATCCACTAACAAGACAGCCTCTTCCACAGCTTGTCTTCGGCTCAGCTTCCACTTTTGACTGGATGCAACTATTTCACAGCCCTGAGGATCTCGCGCGCCACTTAAGATGATCGTGCCGGCAAAGATACTGCAGGGATTCACCATAGGTGCCATAGGTCCACTGAGATGAAAGTTTCTCTTCACAGTTGACACTATGGACAATTTGATTTGTTGTCAAAACCTGGACCAAAATACTTGGCGTAAATAGATCCCATTTGGCTGGAGAAACTTGACTGGCCTCAGGTGCAGCCGCTTCATCTGAAGTGGGTCTGGAGACTCGTGTGATAGAACCTGAAGCGAGTTCCGAGCTTCAAGTCTTGCCCGTGTGCTGTCACAACATGGACCAGGAAGCTGAATGATGTGGGCCCCACCCTCCAAAGAATGAGGCAGCCCACCAGAATGAATAACACCCCAAAGTACCTTGGAAGCAACTTGCACATTTGGTGACAAAGTCAAAAATTGCAAAGCCACATTCACGTGAGGGAAAAGCATGGAAAAGAACGGGGAGATGGAAATCTCGATGAGGGCCTTGAGGCGGTGCAAAAGCCTATCCCTTCGCACACAGCCCAGACTCTCAGGCCGCAAAGACCTCAATCGATTTGTTTCCGCAATTGAGGCACCAGCTAGGTTCACAACCATGGAAATTACGATGCCTAAAGCACCGCCTGAATGCAAATTTGTTTGCAGAAAACTGGGTCATTTATGAGAAAACAAAGTGCTCTTGCTCGGTTGACACACATTGACAGCTCTGCCTACCAATGTGCTGCAGGCAAAAAGCGCACCCTGCCGACCCTCACAAAACCAACACTGCAAATCATTTCAAGAGTTCCGCCGAATCAAAGCAATGTGCAAACCAACGTTCCAGTTGTCCCTCACTCTGGAACATGAAGTCTTAAAACTGTCACTAAGGACATCTCTGTGCAGTCCAAATTCATGAGCCCCACCAACCTGCAACACAAACAGCGTTGCAACAAAAACGATTTTGCATCCACATGTTTCCTGAGCATAACAGATTCCCTGCCTACTACGACAAATGCAGCATAACTCTAAGTGACAGGCATGCAAGAAGTTACTGGTTCTTTACAACACAAAGTGTTCTTGGAATTGGGTGGTTTGTGTTGCCTATGGTCAAGCAGTGTCAAGATCGCATGCAAGGCATCTGTCATTTGTTTTGTATTGGAATGACCGTATGGAGCTCCCAACATCTTGCTACTGAAGGATCTTGTGGTTGGATGAATTTCTATGTCCTCCAAAGTTTTTTTCCATGTCGCTTGAAAAAGTTCAACTGCGCATGCGGCAGCTGCACCGAGGTTCAGTATGCAAATGGGCACCAAAATACTTGACAATTTTCCGCCACTTGTGCTGTGAAACTGGAAGAAGAACGAAGTGCGCGCCGACCGATCGCTTTTGACAAAGCGGGTTTGGGCCATTGAAGGCGAATTTGTAAGTGTTCAGGTCATGAACTGTGCTTCAACCTGGGCGGACTTTAGCCAAGAATGAGGGAATGTAGGTGAAACTGAGGTGGGCAAGGCGGTTGATGTTCAGTTTCTGGCTCAGGGTTGACGTTATCCCGGCCATATTTGCACAAAGTATCACAAAGTAATGTTGCTTCTGGATGTTTCTCAACACCAAGATGCGTAGTTCCAGAGTTTGGGAGGCATTTGCGTTGAACATGTGCTTCTCACAGGGACTCTGCTGGCACAGAAATTTACAGCAAAACACTTCAATCATTCAACACAGAAAAACAATTTCCAAAATGTCCAAACTGCCAAGTTTCATGATCTACGAGCTTGAGTTTTGAGCTGGGTTTTCACTTGGCTTTCAACATTCGGACATGGACAAATTTCGAACCAGCAACTTGACCCCCTAATGGCCCGAAAGTTTGAAGCAAAACGTACACAAGAATTGAGTGTTTTTCTTTGCACACCACGCCCCAATTTGTTTGTATCAAAACTGGACTGATGCGGCGGTCGGTGCGGCTTTTCACCGCGCGTGAGCTTGAGCCAGCCGTAGTTGGCAGGGTACAAACTGCAATCAACCGCAACCACAGCTAGGATGACAGTGAGGACTCATGAATACATGCTCATGTAAACATAGTTTTCACATCCATTATTCTTTTTCTCACTGTCAACCTTGGAACCATTCAGCTTTTCAAAGCTGACTTGCAAGTGCCCTGAGCTCATGAGTTCTTCGAGCTGGGTGCACTTCATGCGCTTGGTCAGACCGTCTGCTGCCATCGTTGCAGTGTCGATCCAAGCAACCTTGTTGGTTCCATGCTGTGGCGGAGCGTCAGCAAATGTCGGATTGCCGACCTCCTCTTTCAAATCACGCCAAACATCCTGGCGGAGGGCCGTGAGATCAATCGCCAGACGTTTGTCTGTGACCTCACTCATACCTGGTTGGAGCAGGTGATCAAAAACACTCCTACAATCAGTCAACCATCCAATGACGGTTGCATCACAGGCCTGCACAAAACGCTCCTTTCCTTTGGAGTCGTTTGGGTCCAAGTTGCGGACCGAGAAAAGCAGCTGCCTAAAATGCTCAGCTTCTTCGGCGCCCAGCTGTGTCCGCTTGCATCGTGCTTCTGCAGACCCTCTTGATGGTTGTGGAGGTCCAACCAAGCAAAGCCACCGTTCCAGTGCCCTTCTCCAGGAAGTCGGGCGGCGCTAAGGCCAGGATTCGGCCTGACTGAGACCGGTTTCCACCGAGCCGTCCCTCACCAAGGTCGGTGAAGCTTGCAGCGTGGCTCGCGTCCGTTATGGACAAAATCATGCTGTCATCGAGCTTCGGGCCGTTGGCGGAGTAGAAAATGCCGCGGCTTCGAGTCTTGACAGCATAGTCCAGGAGGCGATTAGTTTCAATCAAATCTTGGATCCGAGCTTTCGCCTGAACCGTTTGCAGACGGTTGCATTCGTAGCAAAGGTCAGGACGACATGTCCTTGCCAGCCAACTGACACTTCCCAGCACAGAGCGGAGCTGTGAGATCTCATAGTCGGTGGCAGGTTCGGCTCTACGAGCTCGACGGGCGGACTCGATGAAAATCGGCTTTACCCGGTCCATTACATTGGGGCTTGTGACTTCAATACCATGTTCGGTTTGTTTGATGGTTCTACCACAAAACTTGAATTCCTTGCCCTCAATCTTACCGAACCGAAAATTCTTTTGAACTTCATCCATGGCGGCATCCATAGCAGCATTGCCTGCCCACAAGATGTCATCGACGTGGGTGCCCAAAATGCCAGCAACTTCATTCGCAGGGCCAGGCAAAAAGTAAGCTGCCGACTCCGATGGAATCTCTTTGAGGCCGCAGGACAGAAGAACTTCATGAAGAGTTCCAACAGCTGTTTGGCCAACACTTCTTGGCGAGTTGCCGGGCGGACTTGACTTTCTGCAACGATCATCGGTATCCCGGCATGGACAACCCACAGGTTTGCAAGGCCTGAGGTTCCGATGACACGGCCGGGGCCAAACCACTTGCCCTTCCGATGGAAGCTGATGAGGTCCCCGATGTTGTAGGGTCCACGTAAGGGCACAGACTTTCTCAGGAGAGCGGTGCGAACCCTTCGCGATGCATCAGCTTGAACAAAGGCCCGTTTGGCGGCCTGTCGGATCTCCAACTGCCTCGTGAACTCATCCACTGGGTCATCAATTCCTTGGTGCACTCCAAGGTTTTCCTGATCTTCTTCATTGGCTGTCAGGGAGCACACTTCACGAGGTAGACGGCCAAGGACCCACTGAGATGGCGTGAAGCCATGGTCGTGAAGCCTGTTGTTTTTGATGGTGACGGCTTCCATGATGACCATCTTCATTTCTTCAATCCCAACAACCTGCTTCTCTTCAACAATGCTCTTGATGAGATCTTTGAGCAGGCTGCCTTGTCGTTCTGTCCGGCCAAGTTGGAATGACTCCATGAGATGTCAGGAGTTGCGCGAACTGGCCACGGTTGTGAACTCCTCGATCGACTAGACATTGTCGTGGTGGACCTGCCCAGTTGAACCAAGCATCACGTAGCGCTTGAGCACAAGTGAGACTCTTTGGAACGCCACCAGGTCCAACCCAAAAGGCTTGATGGAACAGGGTGCCAAGACATACCACACTCAGAACGGTGTGTCTGTTGCCCTTGCTGTCCTTAACCTCAAAAGCATCGCAGCTGATCTCCCAATTGAAGGTGGGCTTGTGGGGAGTCTTGACTCTGTGGGCCGGTTCCACCTTTTGAGTCTTGCGGCAGGTTTCACAGGCAGAGTGCCTTGCAGCTTCAAGTGTCTGTTGAGGGGCTCCAGCTGTCCGAAGGAGTTGAACCATTGCCGATGTGCTGCAATGACCTGTCATGGAATGCAATCTTCAAAGAGCCACTCGAATGGCACGATCTGCCTTCAGCCACTTTTGGCGACGCGTCGCCTCCAATGAACAATCTTTGGATCTCCTCTTCAGTGGTCTTGGTGGCCAAGATGGTGCTTCTTGACACACTCTTTTCATCATAGATGCATCAAGTTGCCCAAGAGGAGTTTCTTCTTCTTCAATCTCCATGGAGAATTCCCCAGCGAAGGCTGAGAAGAAGCTGCGTTCTTCTAACTCACTGATGAAGCCCTTCAGAATGGCTTCGCAAAGGCGTCGTGGCCAAACCTGAGCACGCTTGGTCTTGTTGCTTCCTTCCAATGGCGAGTGCACATGCTCCCAATTGCACTTCTTGCTGAGGTTGCTCTTGACATGACTATGATCAGGAATGTTTTACCCGTGGAAACGTGGCATATAGCCGAGCCACCAACCTCACCATTCTTGCCTGCCCCTTGAACATGCAAGGAATGCCAGGGGCTCTGCAAGTACTAGCTGCCCTCTTGCATGGCGTTCAAACCATATGCACCAATGATACGATCCGCGGCTCACTTGACCTCACAGCAATCCAGGTGGAAGAAGCTGCTGCGGCTTTCCAGCAGGCACTACTGCCACACGAATTATGGGTTGGCCCTCTCCCTGTCTGCCCAGCAGAGCATCATGAGGGCAAGGTGAGGCGCTTACGCCTTGTCTTAGCCACTCAGTCGCACTTGACAAAAGCAGAAGTATCCAGCCTGCAGGATGGGCCACACCTTCCTGGTTGCACGGCTGCACATGGGCTTATGCCTCGCCAAACGCCGGAATGGCTGGTCATACCAGATGGACAGCAGACGGGATGCTGGCGGCTCTTGCACAACAGCAATGGTCCTGGCCACAGGTGTAGTGTAGGTGCTCCCAGCGCTACCAGCCGATACCCAACACTGCTGAGCATCGAAAGGCGCAGGATTACACTTTTGAAGCCTTACACCGTGTTTATTTTTACGATGCGTGGAGGCCGCAACCTGACCTCGATGTCCCAGGGTCGGTAGTCTTGCCGCCCAAGGCTGGCCTCTTGGTCCAAGGCTGCTATGGGCAGCAACCAAGTGCACCCGAAGACGTTCTCTCCGTCTCCGATGCTGAAACGGAGACAGCTGACCCGCCATGTCAGCCTCCAGCTTCTCCCGACATGACCGCCACAATGGCGGCCGAGGAAGCAAGCAATCTGGTGTCAGTCCTTAGCTCCTTTTCCGAGCCATCCACCCTGCCCAGCTCTGCGCTTCCGGAAGGTGCGGACTCCCCCATGGGAGAAGGAGATAGCGATGCCACCTCGTCAGGCGAAGAGGGTGACTGCCTTAGCAATTGCCCAGCCTCCTCCAATATGCGACCGGCAAATGACACAATGGTAGAAGGGAGTTGATCCTCTAGATGATAGCTCCCCGTCATAAAAATCGGAGTCTCCAATCAAACGGAGACCAGGGACTAAGGCGGGTCCCCAAACAGCCGCTTGGCAGCATCTTTGAGCTTTTTTTCCACGAGTGCGGACGCCGTGTGGGCGGAGTGCCCAGGTCATCATTGAAGGGGAAGGAAACACAACATGATGAGGGGGAAAAGAACACAAGCAACCCCAAAACCAAGCAAAACCCACCAAACCAAAACAAACACCAAAAAGCCACCACGGCCAGAAGCCGATTCCCCCTCATCAAAACGTGTTTCCTCTGTACTAGGGTGAGACAAAAGCAAATGGCAAAAGCTGGCTGCTAACTAACTATGGGCCTGAATTCA